GCAGACCCCCTTTTGGCTGGGGTGGGGGGTGGGGTGGGGGGAGAGGACCTGCCTGGAACTGCCTGGCCAGATCCCATTCAGCCTGCAGCCTACGGTCCTGTCCCTCCCGAAACGGGGGGCCTGAGTCCCACCACACCCCCACGTCTAATCAGGAGTGTGTATTGGGGGGAGAGGGGGTGACTGCAGACTGAAAGAACCAAGCGAGGGAGCTCAGCACTGAGAGGCCCGGTCTAAGAAGCACCCACCTCAGAATGGGGTCTCTCTAAGGACCCTGCAGCCCCAGATCCCCTCCAGAGAGTCCCAGCCTGAGGCCCCACAGACCATGGGATCCGGCTGAGACCCATAGAGGGGACCCAGGCTGCAATCCCTCCTGGAGTCTCATCCTGGAACCCCTGGGGGAGCCTTCCAAGACTAAATTATTCAGTGGGCTCCTCCCCTTCCCTGCCGAGCTGGCCACAACCAGGTACTGGAGGGGGGGTGACAAAGGGGGGGGGGCCTCAGTGTCCTTCCCAGGACCTTTCCCACTCCCCTTCCCTAGGCTCTGCCTTGGGGCCCAGCAGTGGGGGAGAGGCGACCAAGCCTGGAAAAGAAGACATAGGGCAGCTTGTTCCAGCCCAGGAGACAGAGGGCGCCTCTGTCCACTCCTGGCCCCTTGCCCCACTGGGTGTCTATCTGTGAAGGGGTGGAGCCGATGGAGGGGGGTCAGTGGGGGAAGGAGGACTGAAGACAGGTCTCCCCACACAGCTCCAGGAGCCACAGTTGCAGCCTCGTCTGTCTGTCCGGAACCTGCTCCTACCTCAGGCCCAGGCTGACAGTGAGTACGCTGCCCACTCCAACCCTGGCCAGCTTGGGGGGAGGGACCTCAGCCGGGCTCCAGGAGTTTGGGGACAGTGGCATTGTGGTGCACGGAGGGTCTGGGGGGAGTTCGGACGGTAGCAGTTTGGGAATTGGGGGAGTCAGGGTTTGGAGGGTCGCGAGAGGAGGCAAATGAAGGGCAGAGGGATATCTGGGAAGTAGGTGAGCGGGTGAGGCAGCCAGTGGGGAGCCCAGCCACTGAGTTTCCAGGAGAGCGGGCCCTCCAACCAGGGAGCCCTCAAGTGCCCTCCCAAGGCTCCCTCCATCTCCCAGCTGCTGGGGAGGTGACCCACCCTGGGCTCACTTCCAGGGAGGTTAGAACGAGAGCAGATGGAACAGCTGCTCTGCCACCCCCCGCCCAGCCAGCCGAGACCCAGGGAAGCCTTGGGGGTGGCAGGGCATAGACCGTGAGATATCAGGAAGAGGGGGCGCGAGGGAACTACACCCACTCCCAATTCTCCCTGCGTGTCACCTCCCGTCTCCTCCGCTTTCTCGGCCCCGACCTCCAGACTCCTCTTTCCCCCAATTCTTTTCTCTTTGTTTTCCCAGGTGCCCCCTCCCTGTCAAGGTCCTCTCTGAACGGCCCCTACATAAAATGCCTGGCTGCTCTGCGGGCTCCAGAGCTCCAGGTGCCCCTCCTGGCTGGGCCTGTAATTGAGCCTCCAGCACTCCTCCCTCACACGCCCCTTATCCCCTCCATCGGCCGGGCTTGGGTTCCATCTCCCCCAGGTCTCTGTGACAACCGCTTCTCATGTCCGGAGTTCAGGTGACACTCACAAGGGCCCCATTGAAGAGCGGGGATGTCATTTGATCAGGGCCTATTGTCCAGCCCCTCAGGCCTGGGGCAGGATGGGGACACCTGATCTGAGACACCTGAGCTGCCCCCTGAGGCTGTGAAGGGGCTGCCTGTCCCAAGACCCAGGGAAAGAGACCCCTGGCTTGGCAATCTCCTCTCCTCGATGGACCCCTTCGTTTTTCTCCTCCTCTCTCCCAGCCCCTTAAACTCAGAGGACCTTACTCGCTCAGCGTTTTATCTCCCCCAATACATGCCAGTCCCCTTCTCCCTGCTGCCACTGTCCCCACATCTACCAGGCTGGGCCTTGGGGTGGGAGTGGCCGGCAGCAGGGACAAACCTTGTACAGGTCTCCTCTCCTCTTCCCTGGAAGCTCTGGCTCCAGGGCAAAGGCTCAGACATTCCTCTCTCCCTTCCCACCACCCGATGGAAGGGCTGATTCTACCGAGGAGTAAGAGGAACCAAACTAGAGGTGATGGAGGCTCACCCCAGGCAGCCAAAGTGCCATGTGCAGGTCAGAACAGAGTTGAAAGACCAAAAGAGGCCCCCAGTCTGCTGACAGGAAGCTCAGAGGCAAGGAGACCCTCTCCCCATGAACCTTGGGCCATCCACTCGGGCTGGCACCTTCTCCACCAGGTGTCCAGGGGCATCAGACGGACTCTTTGCCAGGGGTGGGCAGCAGAGTCAAATCTGTAGAGAGGAGCCCAGCCCACCACCCCCAACAGCAGAGCTTGGCTGTGCTAGGCAGGCAATGTCCAGGGTAAAAATAGAGCCAGAGGAAGCCTGGCTGGGTCCTGTGACCACCCCTGCCTGCCTGCCTGCCCGCCACACCCTCCTCCGTGTCTGCCCAGGCAGCCGGAGACATTGTGAAGTCCACTGCAGGCCTCCAGAGCCGCTCCCGCCATCCTACCTCCATGCCCCAAACCCCGACTCCCCCTGGCTGGCGTCTGGATTGAGGGACACAGAGAACGGTCTGGAATTAGATCTGTTTGGGTTCCCCCACATCATAAAATCCCAGGGAAAGGCACATTGTGATGGGCCTCCGAGCTCAAGGCTATTGGGGCTGTGGAACCAGGGTCGGGGTGAGGGCCGGAGCATGGTTCCCAGCTCACTTCCATGGTGGGGGGCGGGTAGGTGAGCTGCGCAATGGGTTCTGAGCTGGAGACGGCGATGGAGACTCTCATCAATGTGTTCCATGCCCACTCGGGCAAGGAGGGGGACAAGTACAAGCTGAACAAGAAGGAGCTGAAAGAGCTGCTGCAGACCGAACTCTCTGGCTTCCTGGATGTAAGCACAGGGTGGAATGGGGGAGGGGTGGGGGGACGGAGTGGGCATCTCCCTGCCATCTCCCCAGCCCAGCCCAGCCCAGCTCACCCATCTCCTTCCTCTCCTGGTTCAAGTCAAAATGCCCTGATTTATTCATCACCGGTGCCAGGCCCTGTGTCAGTACATCAAAAACAAGGCTCACAGTCTAGCAGGGAAAGACTGACACCTGAAGGTAAACCTTGAACACCAGGAAGCACACAGACGCTTAACAGAAGTGGCAGAAAATATTATGGGAGGATATTAACCTGGTTGAAGTGGGACAGCTTCTCCAAAGAAGTGGCACTGGAGCCATAGATTTCCAGTGGAAGATTATCGGGGTGAATGCAGACATCTTAGGAGGAGGTACCTGCATGAACAAAAGCCTGGCAGGAAGAATACGCAGCATGCGCAGCAGTTTTGACTAGAGTGAAGGATGCAGAAAAATAGGCTAGCTCTGACCAGGTAGCGTCATCACCAAATGCCAAGGTTGCAGGTTTGATCTTTGGTCGGGGCACGTAGGGGAAGCAACCAATAAATGCATAAGTAAGTGAAACAACAAATCTATGTTTCTCTCTCTCTCTCTCTCTCTCTCTCCCTCTCTCTCTCATCAATTAAAAAAAAAAGGCTAAAGGAGAAGTAAAAAGTGAAACAGCTTTGAGATTTTATTAGACCTGGGTTCCAATTCTGACACTGCCACTTTCTAGCGGTGTGACTTTGGACACATTGTTTAACCACCAACTGTCCATTTGTTTCTTCTCTAGAACAGGAATAATGAAACCTACTTCATACTATTGGTGTTAGAAGTTAGACAAGGCTCCTAACCTCCGGGTGTAGTGCTTATCCCATCGCAGGCACTCAACATGTAGCTGATGTTATTATTACTCTGCCTTGCTGAGGAGCTTATTCTGTGGGCAACAAGAGACTCCAGGTGTCGGTTTTGAGGAGGGCAGAAGAGTCCCATATTTAGATGTAGCTCCCCCTCGTGCTCATCTCTGTCTCCTTCTCCCCAGTCAACCACCCCCTTGCCTCTGACTCAGCGCTATAGACATCGCCATACAGTGCTCTCTCTATCTCCTCCATTCGCAGGCCCAGAAGGATGCAGATGCTGTGGACAAGGTGATGAAGGAGCTGGATGAGAATGGAGATGGGGAGGTGGACTTCCAGGAGTACGTGGTGCTGGTGGCTGCCCTCACGGTGGCCTGTAACAACTTCTTCTGGGAGAACAGTTGAGCAGACAGCCCCAGTGGGCCGCGCCCTTCCCCTCTGCCCTGCCATACCTGCCCCTACACCCTGCTTTCCTTCTTCCCCACCTTCCCCTCCCCATAGTCCCACCTTTGCCCACCCTCCAACAAGGGCGCAAGAGTAGTGGGCCAGACCTGCAACTCGTCTTTCATTAAAGGCTTCTCTCTCAACAGCTGCTGTCGGTCTCCTTTGGGCTCTGGACGCGGGTGGGGGAAGTAAAGGTGGCTCACTTCCAACTTGCCTTGTTTGGGGTGGAATCTTATGTAGAGAGAGGTCACAGAACCATTGCCTCTTCCTACTTGAGGGAGTCTCAAGGCCCAGGAAGGGAGGGGTTCAAGGTTCCAGCTGGAAGTGAAGGAGATGTTAGCTTCTCAGCTATAAAAGCCAGAAGGAGAATTTCCCTTAAAAGAACATTTAGAGGATCTCCCATGTGCTAGACATCGTGTAGGAACCGGGGATACAGCAGTGAATAAAACAAACACGCTCCTAACCCTCACACAGATAAAGTCCAGTAAGGACGCCAGACCATTAACCACATACACAGAAATGCTAGGATCCTGATGGGCGCACATGGGGGTTGAAGAGGGTGGAGGCTTGAAGATGTGTTCATTCATTCATTCATTCATTCATTCATTCAT